CCCGCCTCGCTTGTGGACCCGCAGCGTGGGACGCAGAGCCAGGCCAGGCCCCACGGGCTGTGCGCAAAGATATGCCCGAGAGGCGGGGAGAAGGCACGGCCCACCGGCTCAGGAGAAAGTCCCGGAGGGAGGCAGTCCGCCCCTGGGGACAACGCGGGGACCCTATTCGGACACCACCAGAAGTTCCTGTGGAAGACGCTAAGGGTGCCCACGGTGTCGGCCACCATGTAAGGCTCTCCTAACTCTAAGCCGTGTGCAGTTTCGTGCACGTCAGAAGGGCGCAGCTACTGTCACCTCTATCAGCAGAAAAGCAAACATGAGACAGGAAACCACCCAATTAATCCACAATTCACAGTGCTGGTGAGCTTCCAAACAATTAATGTGACTGAAGTTTCCACTCCTAGCACAGATGGGTCGTCTGTCTTTTCTGCAGTTTAGTGGTTTCTGCTACGCACATCTATCTGTCAAAGTGAACTATGTAACTTCAGGCCGCAGAAGTTGGATGAGAGTAAAAAGTTAAACTGAAGGTGACGTGGAACTGTCCGAGAGGGTCTTCTTGTCCAAAAATGAAGACGCTGTGGCTATAAAAATTACCACCCTTTTAAAACTTTTAATATTTATTTATTTATTATTTATTGGAATGAAGTGCCCTCCAGTATTTAGTTAAAAAAAAAAAAAAAGGGCCGGGCGCGGTGCCTCAAGACTCCTGTAATCCCAGCACTTTGGGAGGCCGAGGCGGATGGATCACGAGGTCAGGAAATCGAGACCATCCTGGCTAACACGGTGAAAACCCGTCTCTACTAAAAATACAAAATATTAGCTGGTCCTGGTGGCAGCGCCTGTAGTCCCAGCTACTCGGGAGGCTGAGGCAGGAGAATGGCGTGAACCCGGGAGGCGGAGCTTGCAGTGAGCCGAGATCCGGCCACCGCACTCCAGCCTGGGCGACAGAGCGAGACTCCGTCTCGAAAAACAAACAAACAAAAAAACATAACACACGCCGTTGCTTCTAACTGCAGAGAGCAGAGACAGCCCCGCAAGGCAGCTGCATGGGGGCCCCACCTTGGTGCCTGCAGCCGGCCTCCTCTGGCACAGCTGCTTCCCTCTCAGGACTCATACTCTGCAAAGCTCTCAATCCTCAATCATTTTCGTCTGGGTTTTCAATAATTTTCATCTGGGTTTTACCTATCACATTGGGAATTACTAATGAAAATATTTAAAATATTGAATACATTTAAAATAAAAACAAACCCATGACTTAACATGGACACAATTTTGAAAAATTATTTTCCAAAAAAAAAAAAATGAGAATGGCATTAATACTTTTATTAGCCTCTTTAACTGCCTGGCTTAATGGAAGTGTAAACCAGAAAAAGTGGCCGGGCGCAGTGGCTCAAGCCTGCAATCCCAGCACTTGGGGAGGCCGAGGCGGGCAGATCACGAGGTCAGGAGATCGACACCATCCTAACACGGTGAAACCCCGTCTCTTCTAAAAATACAAAAAAAATAGCTGGGCATGGCGGCGGGCGCCTGTAGTCCCAGCTGCTCGGGAGGCTGAGGCAGGAGAATGGCATGAACCCAGGAGGTGGAGCTTGCAGTGAGTGGAGATCGTGCCACTGCACTCCAGCCTGGGCAACAGAGCAAGACTCCATCTCAAAAAAAACAAAAAACAAACAAACAAAAAAACTGGGGTTTGAGACAGGCCTCAATCCATTTAGAGGCTGATTTTGCCACAGCTGAGGATGTGCCAGGGAAAGAGACACAAGCCACAGTAGGCTCTGTGTCCGGGGCTTTTTCCAAAGAGTTTTGAGGGTTTCAATATTTAAAGGGGAAAATGGCAGGAGGGGAAGGAGGAAAGAATAAAAAGGAGGGGGGGTAGGAAAAATGAGAGAAGTGGGGCACATCCTCGTGAGGCTTTGATGAGCGCTTGCTGACTCGCAGGGGGCAGAGGAAGAGTCAATTACAAATTCGGCTCATGCTCAGTACATCTGCACTTTACGTCAGATAAAGTCAACCTAGAGTGGAGGAAGAAGTCAAATATGCATTGGTTTGGGAATGGGCGTACGGGCAATTTCTAGTGTCTAGTCCCTTACGGAGCAATGAGCTGTGACTTTACATTGTCCTTCAGGCACAGAATGAAAAGGCAGTTTCCCATGTGACTGTTTCCAAGCTCACCCTTTTCTTCTGGCCTAGTGAGCTTGCAGGTGGAGATTTTCCTTTCCTTTCACAGGAGACAGGTGAATTCTCATTTCTCTTTGTGCGTGCCCACATTGTGCGCTGTGTTGGTGGAAGGAGGTGAAGAAAATTTGGCCTCACAGAGATGTAGTAGGAGAGAGAGGCTCTCTTGGACACCCTGAAAAGGCCTCAGGAACTCCAGGGGTCCTCAGCCAGGACTTTGAGAACCCATGTTCTAGAGGCAGAAGGCATTTGCCAGCCTGATTTGGGGGTTGGCCAATGGAAAGTGGGTGGAGGGGACAGTGCAGCTCTGGGCCCTCTTACAACTGTGTCACCACCGTGATACACACGCCTGAAGCCAGAAGAGAGATGTGAAGCTAGAAGAGAGATGTGAAGTCTGGCAGCTCCTAACCGCAGGCCCAGAGCCCCTCAGCTGAGCCCAGCCCAGCCAGGCCCAGAGCCCCTCAGCTGAGCCCAGCCCACCGCAGGCCCAGAGCCCCTCAGC